GGCCGTGGATACTTCCACGTGACAGAGGGGCTGTGAAAAAGAGGCAGGCTCTCAACGAGATGGACGGAGGCAGCGGCTGCAACAATGGGCTCCAGCACAGGAACGATGGTGAAGATGCGCAGGACTGGGCGATGTTTTGTTCCGTAGTGTGCAGGGTCACTGGGGACCAGAATCGACTCAGGGGCACCCAACAGCCTATTTGTAGAGGCCACAGGGATGGACACACCTGGGCTGCAGGTATATAACCTATATAAGTTATGCAAACTTCTTAGCTCTCACCAAGCACTTTGAGGGACTTAGTCACCAGGCTTAAGGGCTGAGGCTCATCGTCTCAAAGGACATCTAGTCCAATTGGTGTAAGATGGCCCATCAAGCTAATGTGTCTACACTCTACTTTGCTGGGTGGCGAGAAACTGGGATAGTCTTTGTTTGCAGCAGCCAGGCGTACTGGTCTGGAAGAGAGGAGTGGAACCCCCAAGATTATGACCCTTGGACACCCTTCAAGCCTGAACCCATGGCACGGTAGTTACATAAACTGTTGTCAACTTGAGACTATTAAGAGTGAAGGGGTGGAGTTTAGCCTGTCAATCAGGTAGCAGCTTGATGACCTCATCTGGAGGTGCTAAGGAGATAAATAGCATGTTGGAGGTGGAACACACAGAGACTCTCTCTGCTTGTCTCCCTGAGAAACATTCCTGTTGACAAGCACATGGAGACCCTGATAGAGCCAGAGCCCTGGAGCTGGAGGAGCCACATGGAGACCCACACCAGCACTGAGATGCTTCCACCATCACTGGATCCACAAGACTTTCCACCCACTGGCCTGTGATTTTCCTGCATTCAGAGCCATTGTATGTGTTGTGTGAGTCTGAAGAGGAAGTTATAGACTGGTATTGGACATATGGGCTAAATCGGACTTACGGACTTGATCTGGACTGAGCTGGGATGTTCTCCCTCGTTTGCTCCAGATGAGTATAGACCAGTAGCTTTATCTCTCGCTTCATTCTTGGCGTGTTGATTTCCAGTCGTCTCAGCACCATTTGTTGAAGGGACTCTTTTGGGGGCCACTGAGTGCTCTTGGCACTCTTTTTTTTAATATGTATCGCTTTCATTTATTAAAAAAGTTTTTTTAAATCGTTTTATTAGGGCTCTTGGCACTCTTGATGACAATCAATCCTGGGTGCATGGGCTTTGTTTCTGGACTCTAATTTCTTCTATTCTATTGATTTATGGGCCTACCTTTATACAAATAACACACTCTTTTAATCAGTGTAACTTTGAAAGTTTTGAAATAGAAAATGTGAGCAATTCACACTTTGTTCTTTTATTTTTTCTTCCCTAGATTTTTTTTCTAATCGTTTTATTAGGGGCTCATACAATTCTTATCACAATCCATACATACATGAATTGTGTAAAACACATTTGTACATTCATTGCCCTCATCATTCTCAAAACATTTCCTCTCCACTTAAGCCCCCGGCATTAGGTCCTCATTTTCCCCCTCCCTCCCCGCTCCCGCCTCTCTCATGAGCCCTTGATAATTTATAAATTATTACTTTGTCATATCTTTCCCTGTCCAATGTCTCCCTTCACCCACATGGGATTCTTATTAGAATTAAAACTTGTATTTCTATTTTAATGAGAGATGCATTTGTTTCCTGGTAGCCTTTTTTCCCCCTTGCAACCAAACTTTCTATTGGGGTGTTGCTTTTTTGGTTTATTTTTTATTGTATGTAACTCACTCATTGCCAAGTGAGGGAGTTATAGGGACTTATAGTTTCCCTGTAGGACAGGGTAGAACTTCCCTTGTGAGTTTCCAAAACTGGAACTCTTGATGGGAGGAGAAAGCTCCGTCTTTCCCCCTTGGAGAAATTAATGGCTTTGAACTGCTGTCCTTAAGGTTAACAGCCTGACGTGCAACCACAGTGCCACCAGGGCTTCTCTAATGATCTCTAGAGCTTGGAGTCTCTTAAGGAAAGTAACCTGGGAGATGAGTCACCAGCTGACTACCTGCTCCAAGCGTTGCTTATGCCAGTCTAGATTATTACACGCAGACACTAATTTAAAAGTTTATGAGAATTCCATTGACCAAAGTTTACTGAATCTGAATTGGGGCTTCTTAATAAGGGCCTTTCCCGGTTCAAGTTGGAAAAAAACTCCATGGTTTCCTGCTCCAATCCCTTCTCCCGCTTGGGGGGCTGGAGAATCCCTCCAACAGGTGGCCGCCTCCCCTTTCCTCTGGGTGGTTGAACTCTGTCCCTCGTTGTTGTCTTTTGTCCCCATGGTGATCTGCACCAACCTCTCCCCACAGGGTGGTGGTTGCAGCCCCCCAGGAGGTAAAGTCTGCCAACCAAACAGGCAGCCTCTTCCAGTGCGACTACAGCTTGGGCACTTGTGAGCCCATCCCCCTGCAGGGTAGGTCTCTGCCTGTGTTTGGGGTCTCCCCCGGGCTTCCACCTGAACTATACTTGCTGGGAATTCCTGTGCGCTGGGGGAAGGTTGGAAGGGGGGTGGGTGGGGAAGAGCCCGTGAGGGTGGGCTTAGGATTCCCATGTTCAGTCTTCTGTGCGGTTCACAGCCTTCGCCCCCAGGACCCTCTCAGTCAGCTTCTTCAGCTCCTCTCTCAGGACCTAAATGCCCCCCTTAGCGTCTAGGTCACCAGGGCTGAGGTAACTCTGGACAGTCTCGCCACAGTCCTGTTGTTCCCAAAGTTTCCCCTTCCAAGCCCCCAAGGGTAACGATGCTAACCTTTATCTCCCCAGTCCCCGTGGAGGCTGTGAATATGTCTTTGGGCTTGTCTCTGGCAGCCAGGGCCTCCCCTTCCCAGCTGTTGGTAAGCTGACCTGGGTCCTCAGGGGAGGAGTTTGGGAGTCAGAGGCACTGGGGCCAGAGGTCTCTCGGAAGGTGGCGATGTTGGGACAAAAGGGTGGAAGACATGAGCATCCTCCCCAACTGGCGCTCTGCTTCCCAGGCCTGTGGCCCCACTGTGCACCAAGTCTGCCGGGAAAACACCTACGTGAATGGCTTCTGTTTCCTGTTTGGCTCCAACCTTCGCCAGCAGCCCCAGAGGTTTCCGGAGACCCTGAGAGGTAGGTTGTTTTTTTGGCAGAGGGAAGCCCCTGGGCAGCACAAAATGGGAAGTTTAAGGGCGGGGTTGGCCTGGGGCCCGTCGTAATCTGGGGAGTGATGTAGAAGTCTAGATGCAGTTACCATAGAGAAACTGAATGCAGGTGAGTACACACCGGATTTCACAATGATCCCAACCACTACCCTTAGAGTAACCCAGCGACTGTCTCTCAGGGTCTAGGTGGTGCGGCCCCAGCCCACCTCTTCCACTTCTCTCCCATCCTTAGCAGCTCAGTCTTTGAGTCACAGCACGCCCACCTTGTGGTACCTCTTTCAGGGGCTCCTCACGAGCCAGTCTTTCCACCTGCCGCCTTCCTTCTCCCCAGGTGGTTGACACCTTTATGGTCATCTCAGCTCAAATGTTACCTCTTCAAAGGGGCCTTCCTGGATGCATTTCCACCCATCAACTGTCACCCCCACAGTAGTGAGTGAGTCATCATACGTCCACCCAGGGCCAGGATCTCACCCAGTCTCCTCCCCCCACATTTCTCTCGTTAGTCCTCATTCTCATGAATTTTAAGACGGCGTCTCTCTGAAACACGGTCACCTCTTTGAAAGTATATAATACTGCTCTTGGTTCAAAATTTAAAAGGCACCAAAGGAGGACTTCCCCTTTCCGGGTTGCCCAGAAGGGCAGTCGCTCTTAGTAGTTTCCTGTGACTCCTGAGGGAGAGGTATTTGCAAGCATCTCATTCACGGCCACGGAGTTGGTACTGACTCGCGGTGACCCTAGAGGACAGGTCGAGGGGCTCCGTGGGTTTCCGAGACTGGCTCTTTCCGGGAGTAGGATGTCCCATCGTTCTCCCGCAGATCGACTGGCGGTTCAGATCGCCACGCGAGTGGGGTTAACGTCACCATCTAGCACGTGAGAGTCATCCGAGTTGGTGCATTTATCAGTGGTTTTGGCCATTTTGATCGTTGTGTAATTTCCTTGCATGGTTGTTATCACAGTCCTACCCTCCCACGGAAGGGTTTTCGGAAGAGTTGTTTTCAGCATTTGGCACTTCTGACTAGAGCCGTTACAGCGATTGTCCTAAAACTGAAGAGAAATGACCTCACTTCCTTTTCTAAGAACCGGCCATCCTCCGCGCCGCCTGAAGGCCACGTGCGTGGAGCTTCTGCTCGGGGGACAGAGGCCCTTCCCACTGGATCTTTCCTGAATGTCCTTTGTCTCCAGTCCTATCATACGCTAACCTTTTTTAGTGTCATTTCCATTTCTTGATTCTGCCAGAAGCCTTTTAGCCCCTGTTCCCTCTATGTTCAGCCAGGGTCCCAACCCGAAGAGACGGTTCACTCCAAGTAGGGACATTCACAGGTGGCTTCTTTTCAAGGGGGGAGTAGGGTCCGGGGGAACGACTAGGGGTGGCTCAGGAACTTAAAGCAAGCAGCAGCAGACCTGTTGCCACCCACTGGGTGATGAGACGAAGACAAGGAGCAGCGTGTACCTAAACCTGGGAGGCTTAAAGCAACGTTGTAGGGAGGGAGCCAAGGGGAGGATGCCCTGATTTCACTCCGCTCGCTTCTTTTCTTAAATCATTGTATTGTGGGCTCATACAGCTCTTATCACAGTCCATCCATACATCCGTTGTATCAAGCACATGTGTACATTTGTTGCCATCATCATTTTCAAAACATTTGCTTTCTACTTGCGCCCTTGGTATCAGCTGCTCATTTTCCCCTCCCTTCCCACCCCCCCTCATGAACTCTTGATAATTTATAAGTTATGATTATTTTGTCATGTCTTACACTGTCTGATGTCTCCATTCACCCACTTTTCTGTTGTCTGTCCCCCAGGGAGGGGGTTATATGTAGATCCTTGTAATAGGGTCCCCCTTTCTACCCCACCTTCTCTCCACTCTCCCGGTATCACCACTCACATCACTGGTCCTGAAGGG